TTTTCAGTTTTAACCGACGGCGCCGCGGGAATTGCTTTCGCATTACTGCCGCGGCTCTATAGTAATACCTATATTAAATAAAAATATAAATAATTGCTTTAGTTTCAATTCCAATGTAATTTTCACACGTTTCTTATATATTCCTATACATATAATAGTATAATATTGGTAAATATAGGTAGCTATCTAGATGATATTATAAAGTTATATTTATATTACAATTTACAGCTATTTAAGTAACTCATTTTACTAATAGTAAAATATTGCATTATAAAACGTCTAATTTCGTCCAAGTTTCAACTTAAAATGTCTATAAAAAAAACTGTGTTTATATATTTTTTAGATTTTTGGTGACAGTATTACCCACTCATGAGAAATCTCGTTTTAAATTTCCGATCTTTAGCTATAAAAATTGAACATTTTATAAATTTTTAACCAAAATAACGTTCGCGGAATATTGACTAATTTTGTAAAAATCTGTACTTAAAATGCTTACAAAAAAAAAATTATCGTACATAATGTATCTTCATTATTTAAAAATTGCTATTATAACAACTTATGAGGAACCTTGTATTAATTGTTTAAGCTTTTAGACCCGTCTCTAAATAGGTCAAAAAAGTAGAAATATTTTGAACATTTCATCATGTAGGTACCCTACAGTTGTAATATTTTATCATAATCATTTGGTGAAAAATTGAAGTATCTATTTATAGTTGATTTTTGAATTACAACAAAATATAAAAAATCGTTTTAGGAGAAATTATTAACTAACTGTTGAATATCCATCGTAAAAAATTAATATCAAATGTTTAAGCGAAATGATTCCAGTGTTGGGAATAGCTCACTAAAATAATATCTAGATAAAGATTTTTAAAATAAAATATCTTAAAATGTTATCCAGTAATTAATTAAAATATATTATAATACAAATATTGGTTAGGTTACAAGAACACAAGAGAATTACAAGGACAGTTACTAGTCGCGTTGACTCGTTCGTATTTTGTTTTGATAATCTGATCCTAAAATTTAAACTCTGAAGTATATCAATATTTATATTATAATGGATACTGTCTGTATAATAGTAATAGAATTGGCATCGGGCATCAAGCGGTGGGATGTGTCAACCAACAACCACCAATAACCCACCACCGATAAATCATCCTACAAATTACAACAAATACATTGTTCTGTGTAGTGCTGTTAGTTGCACCATTGGTCATTAAGTTCCCGTCGTCGTATTGCTGCTAACGTTGGCAACACTTGGTGCTATCGGTAGTCAGCTGCGATGATGGGGCTTAATGATAATGGTTCATTTTTCTGCAACTACAGTTATTGTTTTTAAAATTATTTTTCTCTGTGTCGGTTATTATTGTTTTAACCTTTGTGCTTGTCATGCCTCGTTATTATGTTTTTATGTCGCCTTTTCGTTTATTGTAAAACCTCGTGACAAACTGAATATTGTTTTTGGCTGTACTGCTGCGATCTGCTCTATTGTCTGGTAAATATGGTTCGGCAACTCTAATTGATCATTATTATTATTAGTTTTTTCTGCTATAGGGTTGTCATTTTACCAGCAATAGGGCATTTTTTGGCCACCTCTTGTGTTGGTCCAGCATATTATTTTGTTCGAGTGTTTGTGTTGGCGGCATATTTTTGTGCATTCATTTGTGTCGTTCTGCGTGGCCACTTAAGTTGTTTTTTTTGTTGCAATTTTATGAGCTGCAGCTCATGAAATTAAATAATTAATATTTATATTTGAAATTTGTAGACGCATGAGGCACATTGTTATACATTCATATAGTTTATTTTTTTATACTTGAAATTTGTAGCCGCATGAGGCACATTGTTATACATTCATATAGTTTATTTTTTTATACTTGAAAGTTCTAGCCGCCTGAGGCAATTATATTTTTGTTATAGTACCTTTTATATTTTATATTCAACCAGGCAAATGTTATTATAATTATTCATTCAGCCAAAAATAAAAATTTATACAGTCCACTATTATTAAATTATTGTTCTTATTTATTTCCACGGGAAGACGGCAAGGCCAGCCTATTATTATTATAGGCACCTTATGCGTAACATACATTTTATCACGACTTAAACTAGACGGTTATTTTTTTAATAATTTAAATATGTGTTCATTGCTATTGTCAATTTAGATTTAATTTGAGAAAAAAATATCAATTAATCTCAAATTATTATACTATTATACATTTTACTACATTTATAACGAATACTATTTAAATTTAAATATTAAATTTAGTTTTATTTTTTTTGACATTGCTGACTAGCAGATAAAAAGATGCAAACACTATTTTCATCACAGCCAATTGAGAAGTCTTTGGGTAAATAACTATAGGAGGTTAAAGTATCATTGTTTTTAAGACTTCAAGCTACATTGTTATTAGCTAGTTTTTACTGTGTACAATATTCCACACCATTATTTTTAACTTGCAATTCACTATATGTCATGCGAGAAGCTCAAAAATAAATCATAAAATGAACTTCGTTTTTTTGACACTCCATTCGGTTTGTGTGGCGACTACGGTTGGTACGCGTTTTTTATGTGAGGCAGATAGATCGTCGCAAAGAACCCTGGTGGTCACCCATCTGGGAGCCTGCTCGACCTCTGCACACATTATATTAGTGACTGCGTCCAATCACCGCGATTCACCAGGTCACCATTCAATGAACTCTAATACCATCCACGTTAAATTGTATATTATTATTATTATTATTATAATTTTTTTTGCTGAATCAAAATCTTGAAAATTTACCCATATCAGAAGTTCAAAATGAATGAACATATAAAGATTAAAGGCATACATTTTTTCATAAGCATTTTAAATTCAAATTTTGACAAAATCCATCATAATCGCTCAAACATAATCAAATTATTTTGTATTTAAAAATGTATATAATGTTCAACTTTTATAGATAAGAACTAAAAGTTCAAAACAAGGTTAAAATATATTTTATAAATATAAGTTATACCTATCTATTTAACTATTGTAAATAATAGGTAACAACTAGGCAACAAAAAACAGCGGTAAAACAGAAATATTTACACAACACCAGTTTTGAATTAAATTTACCTTCATATTTTTGTTGTAATTAAAATCATAATCAAATACTTAAAGTACCTACATAAATTTTTTATAGACCTGATATTATAATGTCTAAAATATTTTAAATTTTTTAGAGTCTGCATTGGTACCTATAAATAATTACCTTATTTTAAATAATTATTTATAAGTAATATTAACGCAGGTAAAACAGAAACTAACTGCAACTATAACTTAGTATAACTACGACCTGCAGCCACATCTTAATTGGTTGACGAAATCACTTCACATGTGAAACTTAGTGTGCTAAGTACTGTGTTAGACTGTTGACAGCTATTTTAAGTCGAGGAAAAATAATTAAATTAATTTAAAACATTACTTTACTTTAAACACTATATATAAATACCAAAATTCAAAAAAGTTAAAGACTTATTGGATACAATTATTAAAACAATATTCACTGTCGAAATATTACAATATAAATAAACTAAATCTATTCGATTAAACATTCACACAGTGTATAATAATAATCGTTGTCAACAATAAACAATATACTAGTCACCAGCTTCCTATTATAATAATAATAATATTTGTAGCCAGCAGTTAACCTAACCTAACCTATTATTATATTACACATAATATTATATTTATTTTTTATGTACTAGCCACCACAGCATAATATTATCAATTTTTTGTACGACAGAGTTTTTTTTTTTTATTGATCTTAAATTCATCGACATCTAGGTCATTATGCGTCATAATAATATAATAATAATTATAAATATAAATATATAACGTCACTGAAGTTATTGACAATAGTAGGTAGGCAATATTGGTAATAGGTATTGGGTATATTATGTGGAAAGGGCAGAAAATGAGTTATTTCAGTCGTAGGCGACGCACAGTGGTCTGAAATCGAATTTTAGGCGAAAAAAAGTGAAAGAAAATTGTTTGCTCGTCATGCAGGGAGGTTATAATATGAATATAACTTATAAGATGTTGCCCACGATGTAGATAACCTAAAGTTTATGTTTTGTAAGGACCATGGCATATAGTTTTCAGTGTTGCCCCAATTACTTATTCGAGAGGGGGTAACATTTATTTTACCCCCAATGATTTTTTGACATCATACAGCATACATTTTATACATACATTTATCTAGTTAAGTCTCAACACAAATTAATGTGACTTTCTGGTAAGGTTTTCTTTTAACTTTTCTTTGGTAGACAGTCGAAAATTTTTTAATTTTCTTAATTTTAAATGAATTTTGTTTAAGTTTCAACTTTAAACCCATATTGAAAATAATATATTGTGGATCTGTGTTCAACTTGACCGAGAGAGAAAATTATTTATCGATGATAATTAAAAATAAAAATGTTTAATGCTCTAAAAGAGTCTATATATTTTGAATATCTTGTAGGAAATATCTTTCAGGAAAATTCTTATATATTATATAAAAATTTTGTTAAAATATAAAGTTTTTACGGTTAGTCATTTTTGAGTTACAACAGAAAAACACAATCGATTTTGTCGATAACTGGTTTTGTATAAAAATTACTTTTATATTTGTTAATTTTTTTTTTTGTTTTTCACGACGCTTTTGAAAATTACTGGGAACTTTTTTACTTTTGATTTTTGACTCAACAAAGTATCAACTTGATTCACTTCCCTATCAGACAAGATGCTGAAGTAGAAATTTGAAAATAGAATTTATGTTTTAATGGTAAAACTATTAATTAAATTATTAGTTATTGGCTATTTCTAATGTTATCACACAGTACACACTGCACGCTGCGACACACTTGGAAGTCATCTTTCTTATATTTGTACAATATCTTTTTACACTTAGGATTACGATTATCCACCAATTTTGGTTGTACACCCACCCCTTAAAATAGGTGTGGCGGCTGCCACACCTAATACATGGGTTCAGCACCACTGTATAGCAACTTTAGCGTTCTCGAGGCTTATGGTCATTCCTCGCAATAGACAGCGAAAACGTTGCTTGATTTGTCCAAATAATCTCTCTATTGTGTTTCTTGCTCTGATGTGTGTGTAATTGTATTGTCGCTCCACATCGTTTTGAGGATTAAGAATTGGTGTTAACATATATGGAGTACAAGCATAACCACTATCACCAAGTAAGATACCATTTATTGATCCATTTTCAAATTGTTCCTTGATAAGACTTTCGTTCCAAATCCTTGAATCGTGTGCACTTCCTCTCCAACGAGCAATTACATGCAATATATGACAATTTGCATCACAAATTACCTAAATTATTAATTATTAATTATTACTTATAAGTATTAAATATAATTTTAACAAGATTTTAACTTTATATTTTATAAATTTGAATATTTGAATAAAATACATGTTATATGGCTTACTTGAACATTTATTGAATAAAAGCCTTTTCTATTAATGTACAATTGAGCGTAGTCACCCTCCACCTTTTTGATCCGTATATGTGTACAATCTATCGCACCAATTATCGAAGGCATATTAAATTTTCTACGAAAATCTGCCTTTTTAGAAGCTAACTCTTCATTGGTCAATGGAAACTTAATATAATTATTTTTTAATGATGCTAGTGCTCTACAAATTTGACTCAAACATCGACTAACCAGTGGCGCCAAAGCCATGCTGAAGTCGGGCCGTGGCCCGACCTCTTTTTTGAAAAATGTGGCCGGCCGGCCATATTTAATTTACATCATAACTTTATTATAAGCATGAGTAAATTTAAACCGTGATTATGAATAAATTTATATTAGGGTACCTCTATATTAAATAATTAAGATATTGAGGCCGGGAAGTTTTAAAATTGCCCGACCACATTTTAAAAACTTCGGCGCCACTGCGACTAACTGTCGGTTGACTAACACCATGTAAGTCTCCATTGTCGTCCTGAACCTTAAATTATAATAATATAGGTACTTTAATTTGTTTTAAATTCATAAATGAACTATTACTATAAACATTAAAACATAATCAATAATTACTTGTCCTTTAGCTAAATAACGAAGTGCAATCAACAATTGTAAGCTCGGCGAAATTGGTTTTCCGCGATTGTTAACTGCTCGAGGTAAAAAGTCACGAATTTCGTTTACGATTTGTAAGCATTCTGCTTTTGAAAATCGATACTTTTTACGAAATTCATTATTAGTAAGTTCGATGTAAGGATTTTTACGAATCTTATATATTTTCCGCTGTCTAATAAAATGCACATTTCTTAAATTTCTTACGCGTCTAACATTTTGTACATTACCGATATCCATTTTTCGTAAGTATAAAACGCACAAGTTTTTAAAACACGAATGAATTAAATTAAATGATAATACAAATACATATTACATATTATTAAGATAACAGTGATTTTTATAATAAACCAACTTTAAACCTAGTATTTACCTAGTTTATAAATCAGAGGTTTATCGTTAAACTTAGTCTATGGTCTAAATAAAGTTTATCGTCTATGAATAACAAAAAAGATAAACTATTGTTAAACTACTAATAAACCAATGTTAAACCAGGTCCAATTTGACTATGAATAACACTGTTAATGCTTGAAAAAAAAAAACTGTGACTAACGATTTTTAATATTTTTCATCTGTCTTCGAAACAATATAGTAGGAGCCTTGTATTAAATTTTCAAGTATTTTTACTCAACAAATAAATTTTTATTGATATTCATAAAAAAAAAAGGTGGGTAAGTTTATGTCGCTCTGCTGTACAGTAGGTTACAAGTGGGTCACTGTATAATGGATGCTTTTAAATTTGAATTCAATGATACAATATCATTGTATAAGAAAAACGATTCTGAGCGAAGACGGTATGTCAGTCTAGGTTTAAGACAAATTATATACATATCTATGGTATTAAAAAAAAATTGACCTATAATAAATTCCAAATTAATCATATCACATTATCACAATATCCATTAGGTACTTATAACACGTTATACATCAACATCAATAACAAACCCTGATACTATCATAGATATATAATAGTACACTTTAGAAGTTTCAAGTAGGTACCCACGAATAATATTATATAATCACAACAAAATAACTAGGTTTTTTAATATGTAATTTCGTCCAAATTTGAACATAAAATGACTATAAGAATAAACTGTGATTGTATATTTTTTAGATTTTTCGGTAAGAGAATTAACTACTTACGTGGAATCTTGTTTTAAATTTTCAATCCTTAGCTATAAAAACTGAACATTTTATAATTTATTAATTACGATGATTAATAATTTTCGAGATTTTGAAAAATTCTGTCAAAATTCGATGTTTAAATGCTTATAAAAAAAAATTGTGCCTATGTATTTTTGATATTTTTCAACTGATATTGTAACAATATGTCAGGAGCCTTGTATTAATTTTTTACACTTTTTGGCCCAACAGATAAAACTTTATTGATATTTATAGAAAAAAAAAACTAAAAAAATTGAAAACTGAAAATGTCCGTAAACGGCTCAAAAAGAGTCAAAATATTTTCAAAATTGTATGGTGTATAGGAAATGCTAATATAAACATTCAGTGAAATTTTCATGTATCTACAGTAATTTGTTTTTGAATTACAACAAAATAAGGAAATCGCCACATGAGAAATTGAGTGAATATCCAATGTTGTAAAAATTTGAATTTCAAACGCTCATAAAAATTTAATTTGACTTTCTTATAGAATTTTTTTTTTGATAAATGTAGGAAATCTTATAAGGAATCTTGTACTACATTTTCATATCTTAGATTTAAAAAGAAAAACTTTTATGAATTTCTAACTCGAAATAATTTGCAAATGTTCGTGATTTTTCCATATTTTGTCATTTTTTGAACTTTAAATGCTTAAAAAAAAAACTGTGACTAACGATTTTTAATATATTTCATCTGTCTTTGAAACAATATAGTAGGAGCCTTGTATTAAATTTTCAAGTATTTTTACTCAACAAATAAATTTTTATTGATATTCATAAAAAAAAAAACTAATAAAATTGGAAACTGAAAATGTCCCTAAACAGTTCAAAATAAATCAAAATATTTTGAAAATGTTTTCTTGTATAGAAAATACAAATATAAACAACCTCTGGAAATTTCATGTATCTACGGTAATTTGTTTTAAAGTTACACAAAAACCAAAATCGATTTTCTCGAAAATAGATTTTGCGTAAAAATTCCCGTTTTTCCTTAATTTTTCTTTTGTTTTTTGCCGGCGCTTTTGAAAACTACTGGGAAATTTAAATTTTGACCTCCCCAATGCACTAACGATATTGACTTTCCAATCGAACAAGATACTGAAGTTGAAAATCGATGCATTATTTCGACTACTTATTGTGTACACAGACACAAAAAAAATAAAAAAACACACATCATTGTAAAATCAATACATTCATCGTTTCACTCAGAATCTAAAATAATCACATAATATTAAAATTATAATAAATAGAAGACTAAACAGTTAATTTCTAGTAGGTAGCTACAGAACACGTTACCACTAACTTCGGACGAATAGTCGAATAGACGAGTAGTCAGTAGACGACAACCGATAACTATCGAATGCAAATGTGCAACAAATTTCAAGAATAATAAAATAATATTTTATAATACCAAGAATAAGTCAATACATACGACTACGGGTAACAGTTTACATACTTACGTGTTGTACAACAGTCGCGCAATGCACTAGTAGATAGTAGATAAACACATCTATTTTTAGCATTCGGTGTAATCGAAGTGTCGACGTCGTCGTCGTCTTATCTTTTATAGAAATATAATATTATATACAAATATATTTTGAAAATAATAAAAATACTATTAAAATACTGACGATGCCAAATTGCCGACAACTTTTACCAAGACGTGTCCAATTTGCCGACTAAATATTTAAAAAATCATGAGTGGGGGGGTTAGACACCCCCCCACGCCCCCCTCAAAGGACGGCCCTGCTTCTCACACAATTATACTGGTTCAGTCACCCTCTTTTCCTGCACCTCCATATCATCAGTATTCTATCTACCTATCACGTCTTCAGTCTTCTCACCTCTCACTTTCAAAATACATTTACTTCCGTTAGCTTCTCTCACTACCTCTAATCATACAGTGACCGAACCACCTCAACCTAGTCTCTCTTGTTTTCACTTAAATATATATGTCACTCCTATACACTACATTTAATTAATCAATATCTTATTCTATCCTCTTTTGTCCCTTACACACTCAACTTGACATTCTCATATCTGCTACTCTCACTTCACATCATACACTTCCTAATTCCTATTCACTCAGTCTCTAGTTACCTACAAGTCATCGTACTTGATTATCGGTGAAAATATTTAAATAATTAAATGAATTATCTACTCAAAAGAATTGGTACCTACATACCAAAAAATATCATACCTGACCAATTTCCTAATTTTTATCACGACTTTATTGATAGCCAGACTAGTGTTATACCAGTATAGTAGGTAACAGTACAAATAATTGAAAAGTTTCGGGCAATACAAGAATACAACCCTGATCGGTTAACTATAATAAAAATAAACCTACTGAAAAATAAGAAAATACATACCCCGTGTCCGAATCTGCAAAATCTGCTATAAAACTTAGTCTTCGAAATACTACAAACGTTCACACATTTCAGTTTGCTTATGATATGTTATTCCCAGTTGACAAATCTTCACTGACGAATTAAATACCATTTCTGAAAAAAACACGCAGCCTTCAGTAAAATGTTCAACAATATTCGTAATTCGTATGTCCTAAGCGTTACAGATATTATATTTTAAATGTATAATGTTTAATTTGTATTATACCTACTTAACTATTATGTGTATTTTAGAGCCGACTACGGGAGCAATGAATGTTTTGATTTTACAATGATGTGTATATGATTCTCCTAAAACCATTTTTTTATTTTGTCGTTATTCAACAACTATTAACCGTCGATATTTAAAATGTCCATCGAATGTTTAATCTATCATTTTCTATAGGTACCTACATTATTAAATGTTCAAAATATTTCGACTCGTTTTCAGTGACTTGTAGACATTTGAGTTATGAAATGTTTTTAGTTTTGTATTCTATAAATGTCTATAAAATGTTATTCGTTGTTTCAAAAAGCTTAAAAATAATACAAAGTTCCTCGTAAGTTGATATAGGTAATAGAAGTTAAAAAATATTAGAAATACATAAGCACGTTTAGCTTAATAGGCATTTAAAGTTCAAATTGATCACAATCCTGACAATTTTAAAAATATTTTGTTGTAAGATATTCATACAAAAACTTCTTTGTTTACCTATAATATGAAAATGTAATAAAAGTTTCCTCATAAGTATTTATAATAGCAGTTGAGAATCAATAAAGATCTATAGACATGATTTTTTTAGGTAATTAAAGTTCAATTTTCAACAAAATTTATCAAATTGATAATTTACAAATTACTATTTTATTAATAAAAATTTATAAAATGTTCAACTTTCTCTGGGATAAAATTCATAAGGATTGAAAATTTAAAACAAAAACTATCATAAATAGTTCATACTGTAACCAAAAAATCTAAATAATCAATTAAAAACACAGTTCAATTTTACAGACATTATAAGTTCAAATTTTTAAGAAATTACTTATTAAAACAAAGAATAGCGATTTTAGATATTTGATTGCAATTTAAAAATTGTAATTATTCGTGGATTTATGAAACTTTTAGAGTATATCATTGTAATTTATATACGCGATGACACTTTCAAATGTAACTGTTTGGGCACAAATCGCTTTAACCTACTGTTTACTAATGCATAATAGTAAAATAAATTACCTTAATCACAATATTATTTATAACTGCCTTTGCTCAGAATTGTTTTTCGTTTGTTCGATTGTATTTTAATAATTTATAAATGAATTTATTATTATTAATAATAATTATATTAGTATTACATGGTTATATGCCCCTAATTCCTATGATATAGATATTAAGTGAGCAATAGAAGTTGAGTATGTTACACTAAGTTAATAGTTACCCATAACTTATAACGTTGGATTTGAAAAAAAAATGACCAGTTATAAATTAAAATTGTATCTTATGAGTTATGACTATTATCGACGAGGACGTTTGTATCTCGCGTATTTTATACATTTATTGTTCGGAACTAAAATATGCGTTTACAACACTTGGAAAACACATTTTTCGTGACATTGGATATTTATTTTGATTCTTAAAAGTAAATTTAAGCCCCAAAAGATTATGAAAACAAATTTACTTTAAACATCGACTCTTCCGGCGAAATCCGTGAACAAATGAATGAACAATGAATATTTATTAATTGTATGAGCTATATAAAATGTATAAAGATTATAAGTATATTATATATTTATATTGCATATGTTTTAGGAAAAAACTAATAAAAAAACATAAGTAATTCCTAATTTATGTCATACGGGTTCATCTAGCAAATGGTACGTCAACTGTGTAACTTTTTTAATCATAATCCGTTTTGAAAACGTCCAAAAAAGAGTACCTAGGACTTATGTACGTAATACTGTGAATCTTGATAACAACAAATTTATATTATTCAAATTTAAAGTGTATATTATCATATTATATAACTAGGGATCAAGAATAATAATTATGGTAAATATATAATTGCAAAATATTTATTACCTATAGGGTATAATAACGACACTAAAATACGTGTAAATTGTAAATAAACAAATAAAATATATGAGGTGTATAAATGTATAATGTATATAAAATATAATGTTTAATAATATAACATTGTTATACTTCGAGCAAACCTATCCGAGTGTTTCCCGGATTATATGTAGTACAATATGCAAAAATAAGGTATGTAATAAGCTTGGCTTAGGACTGTTCGCGGGACTTGAGGATATTATAATAATATACATTTCGATTTGGGGAGTAAACATTTATGCTTCTACGCCACTCAGTCAACAGATTGTCCTTGGCAATAAATATTTATTTTAAGTCAAAAAAGTAAACGTAAATCCCAAAATAATATGTAAACAAACTTACGGTGACACATCGACTCTTTCGGTGGAATCCGTGACGTTCACTAGCTGCGAGGCCGACGAGGAAACGCACCAGAATACACAACTATTAAAATATTGTGATTTATGAAAAATAAAATTAAACTGAACTCGGTAAATTTTTTACTCATATCTGCTTTACTTATTGAAATTTTAGAAATTTTAATCGACTGTGTCTTCTGAAACGATTTTGAGATTTGCCATAGATAATATACTATAAATGATGATATTATAGAAGGTACGTCAATATGGTGAATCCACGGATATAATATAATGAATTTTTTTATATATCAAAGAGTTCCGTATTAAGGAACAATATTTGTTCATCGAATTTTATATGACAATAATCAAAATAGTTTATAATTTTGAATTTCAATTATAATAATATTAAATATGATATAAATATTATTTTAATTATTATTTTCGTTTCTTAATTTAATTATTTATTAATATGGTGAATATATATCAGAAGTACAAGCATATTTTTATAAAAGCATAATATTGTATTTTAAAAATCATTAGGTAAATGAAAATGTGATTCCTGGAATTTAGAGTTAACATGAAGATATACAGTACCTACTACCTACCCAAGTACATTAAATTTACAGTACCTACCATAATACCAACTAGATTTGTAAAATTCCAAGTCTAACATTTTCTACGAATACTGCTGATCATTAAATTATTAATTATTATTTAATATTATGTTAATTTAATTGTGTCGGGTACCTATAATTTATATTTTAGATTCTGAGCGTAGCGATGAATATTTTGATTTTACTATGATGTGTATTTAATTTTTAATTTGTTTGTTATTAGGTATTTCTATTTTGTGTTTGATGCGTACACGATAAGTATAAAGTAGGTATAGTCAAAATAAACCTTCGTGTTCCATGCATAATATATTATAGGTACTCTGTATGTAATCAATGATCATAGTTTTATTTTTAAGTTTCTTTGTATTTAGTAAATAATAATATAGGAAATTGTGTTTTCGAACATTAATTTTTTGTTTGTATCAAATACTTTCACCATAATAGGGAACTAAAATTGTCATTTATCGTTAAAACAACAAATTTTGTGAAAAATTCAATTTTGGTAGGTAAGTGTTTTGTGTAGGCATAATACAATATGTTACATTAAAATTTAAAAAATTCAAAAAATTACATTAATTGGATTATTAATTAGAATATAGGTACTACAGTTTCCAGCTTCTACTACAGTCTACAACATTACGTTCAGTGGCGTATTTACGGGGGGGGGGTCCCCGGGTCTGGACCCCCCCCAGAAAAAAATATAATATAATATAATTATTACATCGTAACTCGTATGTGTTTTTTTATATTATAAACTTGTAGGTACCTAATATTTAGACCCCCCCCAGAAAAAATTTCAAAATACGCCACTGATTACGTTATATTATGTTTTTAATTATAAAAATGCCTAAAAATAAAACGTAAATCCCAAAATAATATGAAATTATGAAAACAAACTTACCCTGAAACATCGACTCTCCCGGTGAAACCTGGCTAGAGTGCATCATCAACAATGCAAACGTCCAGTACGTGACGCCACCGAAGAAACAGCTATCTTCATCTCGTTCCGAACTGTAACTTGAAATTATCGAAATATTTTATGAAAATTACCTGAACATAACGAAATGTGCGAATTCGTGTTAAAACTTACATAATAATATATACGGCTTAACGAACTATATGTGAATATGTCCATATTGATGGCTTATTATTTTTTTTTTCACTAAAATTATTAGAATTGTTAATCGTCGCAGACGAATGTCGACAATTGGCGATTGCCATAGATGATATAAAATATATTTTTTAATATGATAAATACATAGAACTTCTACACTCGGCACATAAACGGTCTATTGATAAATCGTTTGTTCTTTTACAGAAATGATTGTGGTCTGCAATGTAAATGCAGTTTCATTACTAAGAATTATATACTTGCTAGCATGAGTCAACTAGTCTACTTTATTCATACGTACCTAACAATAAATTAGTAGATATACAAGCTACCACACTAGGGTAGTAGGGTTCAAATTCTGGGGGGGAGCTACTTCCCACCTAACAAAACTGTTAATTAAAAATACCCATAGGGCTTATATCTAAACCAATAATTGATAATTTTGGGCTGGCTAAATCATACTCAGGGGACTAACCGTCCCCTAAGCCCCACCACGTTGCACCATCAGGATTAGTGGCTACTGTGAATACCACGAGAAACATAAATATTAAATGATCACTAATTATTCTCATTGATAATCAGTTTTTATAATTTTATTGAACATAATACAATATAGGTATAAGCATACACACTACGCAGCCAACCTAAAATAAATACATTGTTATACTTATAAGAAATTATAAAAATATTTTTAAAAGTGAAAAAAAATATCAGGCATTTCTAATGTGAAATGCCTACTCATTTGTTCTTCATTCACCACCTCATATTATTAAATTTACTTATTGTACACACATTGGTTTATCAACAACCAATGATATTTTTTTAGCTACATATTATCCCTTCAAAAACATGTTGAGTACTCATGACTTTTTTATTATAAAAATATTTATAACACTTAATACATACAGTATTTTATGCTCAGAAATATATAATTTTCAAAACATTAAACATAATTACAATTTACATTGTATAATATAAAAAGGGATAAAGTATATTAGAAAGGTTTGGGAACATAACTTTTAACAAAATTAAAATGTTTTCTCAAAATAATGTTATTTATAAATAAGTTAAAATTAAAATAGATAAAATGATAATACAATAGATTATCAATTTAAAGTTTAAACATGTTATGTTATATTATATTTTTGATTATAATATTTAAATATTCTAATGGGATCTAGCAATTTCTGAGAAATACTGTAATAGATCTTCAATGGAAAATTCTAATGAAATCATGGAACCAGGATAGCACCTTTGAATTAAGTCCTCAATATATTTATATTGTTGAATGAATTCTTCTTGCATAGCTCTCCAAACCACCTGAAAAAAATTTAAAATTATAATATAGATTAAATTACATTTATTTTATTATAAAGGTAAAAAAGGTAGGCAAGTGTGTGCCGTTCTGCTGTACAGTGGATCACTGTAATGTATGGTGTTAAATTTGAATTCAATGATATAATATCATTGTATATGAAAAACGATTCTGAGCGAAGACAGTCAGTCAGCCATTGATATTACTAAGTATATTTGATGATATTATTGTAAATTCAGTAATTTATTTACCTATTTACGTGGAACCTTATTATAAATTTTCAATCCTTAGCTATAAAAGTTGAATATTTTGTAAATTTTTAACTATAACATAATTTTTTAATTTTGACAAAATTCAAACTTTCAATGCTTGTGAAAAAAAAATGTGTGTATGAATTTTTAATATTTTCAACTGCTAAAGTAACTAATATATCAGGAACCTTGAATTAAATTTTCATACTTTTTGACTCAACAAATAAAATCGTATTGACTATTATAGAAAATAAAACAAAAAATTGAAAATTGAAAATTGAAAATGGCCGTAAACAGCTCAAAACAAATCAAAATATATTGAAAGTTTTATGGTGTAAAGAAAATGTCAAAATAAATATTCAGTCAAAATTCTATGTATTTATGCTCATTTGTTTTCGAGTTACACCAAAAACCAAAATCAATTTTGTCAAAAACCGATTTACCGTAAAAATATACGTTTTTTCTTATTTTTTTTTTTTTTTTGTTTTTCCTGGCGTTTTTGAAAAATACTGGTAATTTTAAATTTTGACATCCTTGATGCAATGCACCAACTAGATTCACTTTTCCATCAAACAAGATACTGAAGTTGAAAATCAAAGCATTATTTCAACTACTTGTAGTGTACACACACTAACAATAAAAAAATTTAAAAGAACACATCATTGTAAAATCATTGCTCCGCTCAGAATCCAAAACAAAATTGTTTAGTCTTGGCCCTTGGGTATATTAATCAATACAAAATATAGTTAATGCAAATAATAAAATAATATTGTGGGTTCAAAAATAATCAATGGCTTATGATGAATAACACATAATTATATAATTACATAATTAACAATTAATAATAATTACTTGTAGTAAATTTTCTTCTTCACTAAGGTGTTTTTCTACTTTTTTATATAAATGATCTAAGCCTTTTTTCACCTCTCGTCCATGATACTCTTTAGTTACTTTCCTTAATTCTTGTTTACTGAAAGCCACTTGATAACCAACTTCTGATTCTTTTATACCTTGTGAAACCTTAGCTTCAACACCCTCAAAGAATAACTAAACATTAAACAAAATGTTAAAAATGAAGAAGTATGTAAGATGTAAAACAAAATAAACTTTTCATAGTATAAATTAATTAAAGTCAGTACTCACATTCAGTTTTTCGAGCGGTCTACCAAAATAACGTGTTACATAAGCACTTAATGCCTCACTATACTTTTGTTTTGCATCTTTTCTGAATTGATCTAATATACCAATTTTTAATTGAGACAGCAATGCATATAAATGGTGAAAGTTCTCTAAATCCATGAATGAACTATTAGTATTAATTTAGTTTAAATTTAAAACTATTTATGGTTCTTACCCATTCTGATAACTTCGGCGGGAGTCTTAGGGTGTTCACTGGCAATTGAATGAATAGTTTCAAACATTACAGTTAAGAGTTTAAGATACCATTTATCTAAATCAGTTCGACGCTCTGTTTCTTTAAATATTTGTTCAGCTGTCTTGGCAAAATACTACAAAAATTAATAGTAAACAATAAAAAAAATTATATGACAGCTTTAAAATTATGTCAAATTAACAACAAAAATTACAAACAATATTGTAGTTACCTCAAAGTTGGCAACAAAAGGAAGTATGCCACATTTAGACTTTTTAACAATCCTTACTTCTTGAATTGATTTTAAGTGAGCGTGCATGAGTTTATCATAATTTCTTTTTACATGAACTAATGCAGACCCATAAGTCATACTTAAAAAGGAGCCGGTATCATTAGCAGACATAACATGACGGCCCAGTCTTACTAACACAGCCATTGAATAACTAAAATAATATAGTATATAATATATAAAAAATTAAAATAAAAAAGATTTATAATCATAGTTACGTGCTATCCATTCTTTCATGATATTGAATAAATCCAATCAACTCTGGTTCTATACAAGCAAAAATGTCACCCATCATTTTTCTAACTTCTTCATTTATTTTTTTTTCAATTTTAGTCTTTGGTAAAGATGGTAATATTTCTTGGTTTGATTTTACATCTACTTCATCCAAGGTTGTTTGGGTATTCTAGGTATATTCAAAAATTATAATATTATAATTATAGAATAATATTTGAAATGTAAATGTACATTATATTTTATAAAATATGTTTATAAATTAAATAATGTTTTATTTATCGATAGTATGAAAGATGATTCCGTGGTGAACATTTATAAACCATAATGCAGATCATATTATATTTCAGTACCTACCCACTAATTCCCTTAGTATAATAGATATACCTATCATGTGACTGTAAATATGTTTTTTGTTTTATGTTATCCAATAGTTACTAGTTATCCAACTAGTAACTACCTAACACCCATACAAAAAAATTCTATCATGACACCTAGGCTTAAATTAAATCATGTTCACCATGCTACTATACTTTGTCCAAAATAAGAACAGACCTTGGTGGCCGGCATGTGAGCAGGAGCGTGGCAATACTATACAGCAGGTATATAGATTGGTGACTTGGGAGGTATGACAAACAGGTGTTACCTGACTATAGCCGACAAAAACTGGTAGCCGCCGAGGTCTGTTCTTATTTTGAACAGAGTATAAATAATTCTAAAGAAAACCTAAAATGTTTAGTCTTGTCAATTTGTCCGGAAGACAAACAGTGCTGGACTAAACTTAAATTTGAACAAAAATCCTAATACATGCATTATAATTATTATTAATAGTTAATAATCATTATTTAATATTTACTAAAATTTAATAAGTAACTGTGTTGTAAATTATATACTTTGGTAGTAGGGCTGAGTATATCCAATTGGAAAAATGAAACACAAAAATTTTGTTCGGATAAACAAATTGGTTCAAGTTCAGAAAGAACTGCTTCCAATACTTGGTCAAATCTTTGTCGTTCTTGAGCATTACTTTCTTGAGCCCAAAATTCTTTGTCTACACCTAATAACCAATCTGACGGTGGACCAGTTGACTTTCTTATATCTTCTTTTGAATTAGATAAATGGCCTAACATCAAAACAGTTATATAATTCATTAATTGGGTGTAAGATTATCATATTTATAAGTTTTTAAACCGACATAAAATAACTATTTAATTTATTTTTTAAATTATACTTAAAGTTAATACTTACTTTAAGTGTAAAATATACTAAATAATAAGTAATACAAAAATTAAATTAAAGTCAAAAAATATAAATCAATCAAATTATTGAATAATAAATAATAAATGAAGGTAACTAATTTTTCATCAAATGTTAATTAAATTATAGATTACCAGCATTTATACGCAATTTTGCATCTTCTAAAAACAATTTTATATCTCTTTCATAAAGTTTAGATAAAGACGATGTATACACTTTATTAAGAGCCATAAAAGATTTTCGATCCATTGCTTTACACCAATGCATTAGTTCTGTGTAAGCAGCAAGTTCTCGATGCAATGAAGTGTGTTTCATGATGGTCAATTCATTGTTGGAATTTCTTTTTGATTCTCCAATATCATTTCCCTAAAAATGAAAATGTATATACCTACTATATTACAATATTTTTATAAACATTATACATTTACAATATACATTGACTGAAAGATTTTTTATTTTTAAGTGCAAACAAAATATTTGTTCCTTGTTTTAATTTTACTTTTTGAATAGTTTTTCATTGTAAAAGTAATTTTTTCCGAATTGATTTCTTGAAACAGTAAAAACTTTTAACTTTCTTATAACAATCTATAATTTAAGATACAAATTCTTATTCTTTAAAAAGATGCCACACCCACATGTAATGTCTCAGTCAAGCAAATTATATGTTCACAATAATACATTTTAATCTGTTATTTTTAAAATTTGAGTGAATTGATTTACTATAAAATTTAAAGGTAAGATAATTATATAAGGCATCTTAAAAGTTTTTATTTATGTTTTAATTATGAAGAGAGTTATTACTTTTAAACTAAAAATTTTCTTTCTAAAAATATTCTCCAATACATCAATATCAGATTTTTGACCGATGGAATACTAAGTATGTTTTTTATCAATTTTTATATAATATAATATTAGATTAAATAGTTTAATACATATGTATTTTTTGATAAAAATTATTAACTTGACAATTTTCAATTTAGATTACATATTAAACCGCCTCAATACCAAACTATTGTTTATTTCGCAAAAACAACTACATATGTCAGGAAACAAATTAAAATTGATAAAAGTTAACATAAAAATAACTAATTGCAATTCATATTGGAATATTTTACAACACTAATTTAGTTTTTCATTGAGATGAACCCACCTACTTCAAGCAAAAGCTCTGCTTTTTGGAGAGGTTTTTATCATATGTAAAATTAATTTGTATATGTATTGTTTTTTTTGTTATATGATAATGAAATATAAATTAGTATTATTATTAAATAAAACTAAAATTTCAAATATTTACTGACCAAAAAGTTAATTCACATTTTCCTAAATCTATAATTATACATAGTATATATAAATTATAAATATGAAAATTTAAATTCATTAAATTTATTAACCTGTTTTTCCCCAATTTTCCCCTATATACATAATATATATAAAATTTTGAGTATGTGTATTGTATATGATTATATAAATGTAAATAATGTATTATTTTTTTCAAATTTACCATATGAATAAACAAATTATTAAGATGCCTAGAGAGAATCTGAGAAAATTTTGCTTTCCATTTTTCAAATCGTCTTCTTTGTTCTTGTATTGCTTTTAATCGAACTAAAGCTGGATGAATTTGCGCATTCATAACTGCTTGTAATTCTTTTGCAGCCTCAATAGCATCTCGTAATCCAGTTGGTGTAGTTAAGTCAGCATCAGTTAATGCTAATTGATGTTTTGGAGAGAGTTCTAATTGATGCTAATAATAAATTAAATATTTATTTTCAAAAAGTATTTTGGATAAATGTGATTAAATAGTACTTACAATTACTTTTTGTAGTTCATTAAGTAATTTTTCATTATTTTTATTAGCTGTTTGAATATTAGCATTTTTCTGATCCATCTTATCAATAGTATCTCGCACATGTCTTAAGGTTTCATCATACATATCTAAAGCTGATTCTACCTTTTCAATTTCTTGAATAGCTGTTTCTAATTGATCCATTAATTTTGTAACTTGCGGCTCTGAGGCAAGAACACTCTGTACATTCTCCTGTATTTTAAAATCATTATATTTTATAATTAAGAAATATTTCATGCAATAAAACATTGATAACCCTAAGACAACCGAGCTTTGAATAAAACATCTATCAAACATTCAATGAAAAATTGATTTTTCAACAAATATTTAAAAATCTATAGGTCTTTTGTATGTCTCTTAAAATATTATAACCAAATACCTGGACCATTTAAAAGCAGCCTACATAATTTATACAACTTAGATGTATTGTGAAGGTAATTACTTACACCATCTAGAGCCATTAATTGAGTAGCCAACATATCTGTAAATGCTTTAGCATCTTTGGCAGCAAATCCACATTCTTTCATTAATAACTCTAGATCTTGTTCTTCTTTTTCTGAAAGAGGCTGAAAATCTTCAGCACTAATAATAGGCGATACAGCTAAACAATATTAATTTTATAAAAAAATTAACCTTCAAATTGAGAATGATACAATGGGTTTTAATTATAATGCATACCTAAGGAAAGTTTTGATTTACGATCAGCTGGTAGAACAACTAAATCGCCAGATGTCCAGTCAAGAGGTAAATTTTTGAATTCAGGTTTTCTGTCAAATACATGGCTGGCACATTGCTGAAATAATAATTTGACTTTTATACAATTTCTACTAAAATATATAACAAATTTTGACCATTGTTCATAAGCTATGACTTATGACATGACATCTACATAAATCATAATACCTTCCACAACGATATCAAAAATATTTTACGCTCCTGATTATTAGTTGCTACCCATTTATATGGTTTATCCAGTACCAGTTCTATTTCTAAACAATCCTATAAAAAATTAATAAATTAATTATATTAAAAAAAACTAATTGTATAGTGTATGGTGTATGTAATTACTTGAGATGAAGTCTTGCCATCGACAGTAATCAATTCATTCAATGACCAAATTCTTTTTTTTTTCACAACTTTATTATCAAATTTTATCTGAAAAGTAGAAAAAAGGTGTGTAATGTGATGCAAAATTGTATACCAAAAATAATTTTAACCAATTCTGTTTTATTGTTGTCATTCAAAAATGAATTACCATAGACACATTAGAGACACTTGATGTTTTCAGTATATTTATAATTGTTGAGGAAAAAATATTTAAACTATTTTGGATAGTTTTAAGCTATTTGTAGACATTTTAAGTATTTTTCTTGATTTATGAATGATCAATTTTTTGTTATTATAATATCAAAAATTAGCAAATTAGTACAATTTTGAATTTTAATACCTAAGATTTGATATTATTATGTAATATTTATCGGATTTGTTTCACGCAAAATCAATTCAATCTACCTTATAGAAAAATAAAATAGGTACTTTACTAATAGATATTTTACTGATGGCAATATAAATATGATATAATTGCTACAATAACCTTAGAAAAATAGGCTGCAGACAATATCCACTCAAAATTTAATACAATGATTTTTCAATAAATTCAAATTTAAGATTCATCATACAGTCACATTCATTATACTAATTTAGTGACCTACTCTATGATAATGTATAAACTTAAAAACTACTATACATCAAAGTGATTTCCTGATTTTTTATTGTTTGACAAAATGTATAATTTGTAAAATTGTATTCATATGTGTAATCTAGGGGAGGGGGGCTAACTGCCTTCTTAGATATAACTGAGTGGGCAATAGTTTCATTTTACCTTATGGATTTTTAGTTTTACCAGAGGCTGCCCCAAGAATTTACCCCAGATTAAGCCTATCATTGTATCAGTAGCAATAAATAAATGGTTGTATACCTGATGAATATAAATATTTGATGGTGGTTCCTTGGTGTCTGATAAACACAGGTATCCAAATTTCTTTTTTTTTGAATCATTACTAACACCAACAAACGCTAAAAGTTTTTGATCACATTGATCAAATATTTCTTGTTGTAATATCTGCCGAGCAGTAGCCATTGTATTATTTAACATCCAATGTATGATATAAAAACTACCTATATATTTTTTTTTAAATTCTTATTTTGTCCTCAACAAAACTGAAAACAACTTATTGGTTATTACAAGTATTATAATAAATTATTTAATTATATGTTATAACTTGTAATATATTTAATACTATTCTTTATATTATCAGTTTACAGTTTAATCACAGAAATACAGAATTGATAACACTTCAACTAATCAGTGGTTTAATGATAACAAATTAAAATAAATAAGATTGATAAAAAAAAGAAGACAACAAATGTCGCTGTAACGTCCCCTTAAGAAGAAACTAGAAAGTATAATATTTTATTATAATTGTATTTGTGTTGTACACAAATTGTTGGACCCCCCCCCAGATCTTTGCTCTGGATCCGTGCTTGGATATTATAATATCCCTGCATAGTGCATTACCTTTGCCGACTTGTCGTGATCGACGAACGCAGAGGCGTGACACAAAATAGTATGTGTGGCTCGTGCGGGAAGTCAATTTATTCAAATACAGCTTTTAGTAAATAATTTAACAGCGAAGGCCCATCAGCAATGGGCTCGTTATATTATGTTTAAAATGTATACGAGACTCAATTATTCCTTTCAAAATTCAAATCCTAAGACCACCAGGTTATCGTAGTAAATATTAGAACTCATATTATTATTTTTGTCGAGTCTGGTTTTATAATACGCCAATAATGATAGTGCTAACAAGCCCGGATTATAGGGGGGGGGGGCAAAAGGGGCACGGTCCCGGGGCCCATCTTTATCTACAAAATATATTTTTTTAACGCGTCCAATACAGTTTTCAAAATAAAATAATTTTTTAAATAGGTAGGTATAGTAGGTAAATTATTATTAATAATAAAATAAAATAAAATTGTTCTCCTTTTTATATACCACGAAAAATTACTATAAATAATGAATTATGTTTGCCAACAATTTTGTTTGTTTTTTTTTTTGAGCATTTTAGATTACCGATTTAATTATTAAAGTATACAAAAAGGTAGTTATAAGAAAAAATATTTAGCTCTGGTAAATTAGGTATTTCAGTCAAAAGTATTAATGCATATATTAAATTAAACTTTAGCGAACCAAAATTGATCATTTTACTGTCAAAATATTCAGAAAAAAAGTTTTAGGTACCAGAATCCATCAAAAAATATAGTGGTTACCATTTAAATAAATAAAGTCGATTTTATTACTGGTACAACTGCGTGTTTCAAAATTTTGAAAATTTTGTAAAAAAAATTGCTTGTTAAAATTAAAGGAATTAAAGAAGTCTTTTTTTGTTTTAACGAAATTCCATATCATCGATCCATAGGTAATTGTTAAAAAAAAAACCCTCGTACAATGACATAAGAATATAAGATACATCCTGTATACTTTTTGTATAGTAAATAATTATACAATAATATATAAAGTCGTTAATATGTAATGATACAATTATTTTGAAGTTAAAGTTGAAAGGGGGCCCACTAAGTGTATGGTGTCTCGGAGCCCAATTGATCCAATTAATCCGGGCTTGGGCTGAATACTTTTTAACTAGTTCTTATAAGAAGTTGTTTATGTCAGTGTAGTAACCCGTCGTTCTCACTTGATTGGTTACTGCACACTTCTTTAACGACGAAAATTAACGCAGAATTGATCACATAACCCAAACAGAATCTGAGCTGCCTTGGTTATTGCTTTAAACGGAAAACCCCTTTTTTTAATATGTGAATGACCCATAGGCGTGCGCACGGGGTGTTCCGAGTGTGCCTGGGCACCCCCTGACATTTAATTGGGGCCCTAAAATATTTAATATTTATTTGGTGTTTAGCATTGTACAAGTTGTTCATATGAACAGGTAGTTATATTTGAAATTAAATATTGTGAAAAGTAAATTCAGAAGTATCATGACCCAATACTGTTTGGAATCATTAATTTAACTTTTTACGGAACAAGAAATGGCCTCTAATGTTGAAGTAGATTTGGTTATTACTTATTAATAAGTTTAATAATTTAAGTAATAGACGCATATTATTATAAATCTATAACTGTTGTATTAGAATGTTAAATAAAAATGTAACTAAGTAAGTAATATTTATTTGTACAATATAATTTACTAAAATATATATTATGTACAATGTACATGTCTTGTTAAGAGAGGGCCCAAGTTAAGGAAAGGGCCCAAAAATATTGTAGGAAACTAGGAACCCCCCGAAATCCAGGTCTGCGCACGCCTATGGAATGACCTATAGATTCGTATATAAGTATATTACATTTTTTTTCTCGTCTGCGAGATACGCGACGTATCTAGTTAATGACAAGATAACTTTGCAATTAGTTTGGGTAATATTCCGTTCTTTTAAAATATACACAACTTATTAGTTGCACCCAAATATATGTGTCTATTACATTTTTCCTTTCGTAAAAATGTGATATATCATAGGAAGCTATTATGTTTCACTGCGTCGTCATTATTTTCAGCGGACCTTGATTTTCGAAATATAGACCAGCTTGCGTAGTTAACTTTTCATCAGTATACCTTTGGATGCCGCGAATGGAACATACGGCCCTTAGTATATACATTAGTCTGAAAAATGTACGGATTATAGGATTTGTTCTTTCTTTTTTTTTTTTTTAAATAAAACTTCATAATTAAATTATTACTATATATTTTTCCCAACTACATTCATTAAAAATAAAAATTTTATATAATTCATTTTTCGTTGGGTCTACTCTCGGATTCTTTCTCCTTCAAAAGTACAAAACGCCGCCTAGCTTTTACTAAAAATAATATCCATTCACCAGAAATGGCGGGGTTGTCTTTTGAGAAATATTTTACCACCCTTCTTGCTAGTGCGAGCAGCGCTGTAATTTCTTCGAGGTTTTCCCGTCCCGTGAAGTTAGGTGGCTTGAGTTCCCTGTATATTATGGTTGCCGTGCCCACCGGGATTTCTCTATTACTAAGAAAGAAGATATAAAAATTCTATTATTATATTTTTTTTTATTAATTAATTTTTTTTCAGAAGATTATATTAACACTACATTAAAAATAAATACATTTTATTCTTTTTTTTTTAGATATGAACGTTTATACGTTACTATGCTTTTGCCTGCACGCGCGTATTAATCTATCAATAATAAACATTTCGTTAAGATTACATCCGTGCATGGGTCATGCGCGTATGTTATCGGGTGAACCCGATTGCATACCTACTAATTTGTGCGTCTCGTTTAAACTTAATTGGCGGCCGCTTTTGTCGGCGTACCCAATCTCTTCTTGGGCTTGGTTTGGAATGCTCTTGTTGCCCTCACTGGACTGACCTTGTTTGAATGCTCTTGCTGCCCTCACTGGACTGACTTTGTTTTGAATGCTCTTTGGTCCTCCTTCTCCTTGACGTTGTACACGTGGTTTCGTCGGTGGGTCTCAAAGTACTTTTTTCGATGTACTCGAAAAGTTTTCATCTGATGAAGTGAACCCCACACCTGACACCAAATTTTATGTAGTAACCCGTCGCTCTCACTTGATTGGTTACTGCACACTTCTTTAACGACGAATGCACGTAGGTAGGTACACGTCGTCGCACTGAATCGGAGGATGGTGGTTGAAGTGAAGGTAGAATAAATAGTTTAACACAAAATGTAGTTAATTATAGATATAATGTTTATTAACTCGAAACTAATAATATAGTTAATTTTAAGTAAGTTAAAATTTGTGGACAGATAATATTTCTGCCGGAGAATAGTTGTAATTTAATTTGCACTTAATGTGGACGGCGATGCGGCTGTTTCTAGTCCGCGACCCACACAAGTATTGTAAAGCACTAGTAACTACTTATATGTCTAAAAAGTCTGTGAAACAGGGCACCTATTTATATGAGACATGCCCGGGATTTAGGAAAGGATGATTGACGTCATAGGAATGGCGTGATGCGTAGTAGATCAGTATTAACCAATGAGGCGGCAGCCTCAGTGGCCTATTTTGGTGGCGTGATGTTGTTCAGGCCACCTAACCTTTGGAACGCCGTTTTTGTGCAAAAACGTCGGTTTACTACATCCGGCACATCAGTCATCGACCACTTTCTATTCTCCGTGCCACGCAGCAAATACGCGTCCACACGGTGCGGCATTTGAAAAAAGTTTGTTCCGCTTCTTATTACTTAAGACATAATTTAAGAACTTAAAAAATAAGTACGGATGCCACTATTGGCTTTGCCGAAAATACGTCCACACACACGCGGCATGGGCGAGCGACAAAAGCAGAGCGGCTTTCCTTTGATGTAGACCGCCTGTCCGCCTACTAGGCCGATCGGAAATTTTCCCTCTCGGAAAATGTATTTATGTATTCATACACTCATGCCACTCGGCAAAAGCTGCTCCGTCTAGACGCGCCTTAACTTTAACCATGGTTGTAAACTCGTGACCAACTTTTTTACTAATGAGCATCAAAATAATCAAACTCTATAGCGCCTTAAATGCATTCAGAAACGGATAATAAGTAATAACCATTAACCATATAAGATGGCATGACGTAGAGAAGTCAGAAGATGTACCTTGTCTCAACATCGTGGAGTAAAGTGGTAATATATAAACATAAATATAACCACGGTATAATGTATAAAGTACCGTAGGCGTCAGATCCGATATGTCTGTAAACATTTCATGGAACAAATACAAATAACAGTTTAATTAACCCTTTCGAATTTTCATAAGGTTGGTTGTTTTATACTTCAATCGTGGGACGCTAATGTATGTTGCAAATTTAAATTTGAACAACTTATTAAAAATATACTTTAGAAACATCAACTACTGCAACAAACATGTTTGAAAATTATAGTATGTAATTTTTAATAAATATATAACTAGAATTTAATAACAAATAAATATAATAATTAATAATAACGAAAAAATCATTAAAAAAAAAATGGAACTAATAGACATAAATTAAATCCACTAGGTGTATAAGTGAAACTGTCCAAAGTACAGTACCTATAATAGATTTACAATTTAGAGTATATATGTAATGTATATATTATATTATATAATATATATTAATATATTTCGTATGACGTTTGTGCAGCACTAAAAATTTCCCTATTTACAGTTAATTATAATTAAAATCAATTTACATTAAAAAAATAAAAAATATATTTAAAAAAAATAAATACTGTGTAACACATAATGACGACAAATAAGGGTATTATAAAATGTTAGAATTGCAGTTATTATTTTAAATAGTCCAAATAGAATATATTGAGAATGCTTTTTTTTCGAAAGTGGTCATTAATACAGTACAAAAATGTTTACTCGATGTCTTGATGAAATATAATAATACAGATTTGCACAGGCACAATAATAATAAATGACTAAGTTAGTAGTTTAATATAGGCAATTTTCACGACAAAAATGAAAGATTGAAATTTTTGGTTTTCGTACATTTGAATGTTTAAATGTACAAAAATGTCCCATGTGGCCATGTGGAACAAAATATTAATAAAGTGTAGATACCTATTAGGTTTTTATTCATAAGAAAAACCGTTGTCTTACCAAAATATATTATAACACCTTTATTATAATTTATATTATAATATAATATGACAATAAAATATAAAAAAATGTTTTGACTGTTCGATTGCTACTGCAGCTAGGTCTACTGCAATACAATTTAATACTATTTTTTTACTATCTACAAGTGCATATTTACACATTATAATATATAACTAATATAGGATATAGTGGGTATACTTACTTAGTAGTTTGTATATAATTGTATAAATTTCAAAGATCGAAATTATGTTATATTAAGTATTACATAATATCTACCTAATATACTTTAGATGAAACAGAGTTATTAAACTTGATGCTCAATAAAGATGAATTTATACGGTACATCACACGACAATATAATAATAACGATTGTTGTACACCACTTGAACCAATCATATGGGCAGTGCATTTTAATATTCCTAAATTCCAGAGGCTACCATTATTGGAAAATATATTACTTCAGAGTACGGCATACATAAAAAAATGTTATAGCTTTCTGCCACACAAACAAATACTTGGAAAAACATATGAAGTTTTAGGAATACCCACGGTTTGTGGTGAACCAAATAAGTAAGTACCTACAGATAGTAAGTATTTATAAACAACAATTTGTTTAAGTAATACAGTTTAAGTAGGTATGTATAAATAACATATTATAAAATAATTAATAATATTATTTAAGCAATGACATTTTTAAGCAAAATAATGAGTGTCCAAATTGGCTTTTAACATACCATGAAGGAGAGGTTGATTTTTGTAATAATAACAGTTTTATAGGAAATAAGGACGTGGAATGGAACAAAACGTCAGAAGGACGTATGATGTGAAAAATGTGTGCTTTAATTTGATATAACATTGGAAAATCGATTTTGCCAATTAGCACATTTTTAATAAAAGTTAAATTATTAGCTCTGTGCCTACGAATTACGATCGGCTAAAAAATTCCTAGATACGCTACTGTGCCAACATAGGAGAGTAGTCGTGGGTAGGAGGAGGGGAATCAATTTTAAGGACATAGCTGACAAACCTCAAAAACGTACGTTGTACTCTTTCAAGTTGGCAATAAGTTTTAGTTGCACTCTGCATTAGGGTTCCAGACGACTGTGCCATTATATTATAATATTGGTTTGATGGATGTACTATACATAGCCTTCATATAGGTGTTGATATTTGATAATTTGAACTCTTTTGCTACTCGCTTAATAATGCTCTTCACTAACCTAAGGTTTTGATTTTTTGAGTGCCTTGTAAATTGTAGCAGGAACTTTCAATGTGCAGGTTAGGATTAGGACTAAATGTAAGAGTAAGGATCAATTCTAGATCATGTATTGAACAATTAATAGAGATGGTACCGAAATACCGAATTATTATTGATTCAGTATGATGAGAAGTAAGAAAGGAATACGTTTTGGCACATTTTCCCAAATCACAACACTTCAAGGCGTAAGTTCATACATCGTTTGGTGGTTTGGTCGTAATATTTTCCTAAAAATCACAAAAATGTAGAATTATTTTGAATTAGAAATTCATAAAAAATTTTAAATCTTAGATGTAATTAGAATTGATTTTAAAATTCACATCAAAACACAATAATACAATATGGAAGATTATCCACTCCAAAGCCAATGGGAGGGGATCTGACCCCCATGTCACCCCTTGTATATGCAACTAACACCACTGTCATTATATTTTATTTTATGTAATTGGAATTTTTTTTTACTTTCAATAAAGTAAATTAGTTTTAGTTATTACCTAGGTACTTATGCAAATTAAAACTTTTAGATTGTTTATCATTTTTTACTTATGTTTTTAGATGTTTCTTAAATGCTTACAAAAAGTACAAGCCTTATTATCCTATAAGGTACCCGAAAAACAAAAAAACTCCCTTATTATGCAATGTTATACATCATTCAGTTGTAGTCAAGCCTGGTGAGTATTTTTACTTCATACTATTTATTATTTAGTTGTGACTTTGTTACAAAGCCACAATGTTACAAGAAAAATTATTTATCTATTTAGAAACAAAATATATAAATATGAATTCAACATCACCTTCAGTTAATCTGAAGATAATTTGTAGTACTCCAAACACAAAAAAAGTACACCATTTTGAAATTACCCCATTAATAAGCCCAATAAAAACACAAATTCAAGAACAAAGTTATAATTTGCCAACTGATTCATATTATGATGGAGACGATGTCTTGAATAATCAAAACATAGCAAAAAATAATATCTTTCCATATAACAAACAAATAGTGACATTACCAAGAAAATTAGAACTTAGCGGCTTTGAAATCATAAATTCTTCACAACAAACAGATAATAGTGAACAAAATGGAGACATACAAAAGTTGAATTATTCAGACAGTGGACAGAGTGAAATATATTTTATTAGTAGGGATCCTAGAAAATTTCAATACAAAAATTATATTTCAAAATCAAACATAAGTAGTTTAAGTAATGTATCTAGTGAAAAATCATATAACAGAAAAGAAAAAAAAATTAGCAATAGAAATATAAGTTCAGCTTATTTTGATGACTATTCAAAAAATGTAGAATTCCAAGTGTCAGATTTTAAGAAACCATCAATCGTATTTACAAATAAAAGTAGTACAGTATTAAAACAAAGTTTAAGTGAAAAGATTAAAAAAAATTCTTCACTTTTCAAAAAGAATAGGCTAGTAAGTGAATCAATAACAAGCCCACCAATTAATATAAAAACATCAAACCCAAAAAAAACTAAATACCACAACCAGCAATCAACTTCAGAATCATGGACTAGGATAAGTGAAACATTCAGTGAGATTTCATTTTCTGATTTCGATAAGACATCACAAACAGAAACAATGACAAAACACAGTCAAAGTAAGAGCATGCATCATAATGAAATAGAACAAGATTTAAGTTTAGAGTATTACGATACACGGGAAAAATATGCGAGTACTTGGAATGTGGAATCACAGAATAACAGAGAAGATGATAGCATTTCAAGTATTCATTCTTCCCCAAAAGTCTCTAATGAACTTAATAATCATGAAGATTCTCATTCAAGTTTACCAACATTTAGTGATACTATTTCATTAAACTCAACATTGAATTCTGATAATATAGTCTCCATTCAACATCAATCTATAAGTTGGTCAGAAGATAGTTTCAATGCCAATAATGACATTCATTATGAAGAAAACTACATAAAGCAAAACAATGGTACTGTAGTATTTAATAACATAGTCTCCGAGGAGATACAATTTACATCAAAAGGAAATATATCCATGGTTAGTAATTAGCATTAAACATCATTCATTACAATATACCTAATCAGATATTAATTATTTAATTTTGTAGAGTTTTTCATCGGAAAATAACTCATCAATATTTTCTACAGCAGATAGTCGAGCATACATATCAAATTTTAATGTGAGTGTAAAAAATATTATAAATTTATTTTTTAGTATTATTCATTCAAAAAAAAAACAACAAATTTTAGGAAAACTCAGAATAAACTATTTGGAAAGTTTTGACACAGGAATCATAATTGAAAGTATAAGCATCACATTTATTTTAGTAAAAACTAAAAAGTATAATTTATTTTGCTTTTATTAACAAATAAAAATTTGTACTACATGATATATATAAAAAAACATACAATATATTAATACAGAATAATATTGTTTATAAATACAAAAGCAATTTTTAATATTAACAATAACAGTATATTAAGCAAGGTAATTATCTACAGTTTTATTTATTAACAAGTAATAATAAGCAAATCAACTATAGTAAGAAAGCACCAGGAAATTTAGATTTAGTAAACAATTTTATAATTTTTTTCTTATCAACTAATAAAGATGTATTATTTTTTATTTTTATATCTGGAAACAATAAACTAGCAAATAATCAATAAATTAAAAAATTATAATCAATACACAAATTTAGATTGATTTTACAATTTTACAGAGAAAAATTATTGTATTCAAAAGTACATTTCCGGACGGTTTAAATAAGATAATATATTTAAATAAATAAATAATGTAATATTTTTGAAATATTTTTATGAATTGTAAAATTTATTTTAAAAATAATCACGACTGTCTTTGAGCATATTATATCTGTATTCTGTTTATTATAATATAGTGTAATAAAAATGTATTTAAAAAAACTTAAAAGGCAGTCATTTAGTCTTTTGAAATCAAAATTTATTGTCTGTGCCAAACTGAAATATTAAAAATATAAAAATAAGTTAGTTTGTATAAAATGTTGAGCTTAGAAATGTTTTATTTTTTCATTTTTAAGAAACAATATACTACCACATATTGGGACTTTGGATTTATTATTATTTGGTAAACATAACGTCATTAGGACTCGATTACCAAAAGTAATACATTTTGGTAAACACAACTTAAAAACTATAATAAATTATAAAAATCACAAATAAATATATTTTATGAGTACATTCATAATGTTGCCAAAGTTCCATTACTGTTAGGCAAGCTCATGTCAGTGTCATTTTGAGGACTAGAGTAATTTGCAGCTTCTCGAAGAGTCATCAACATGTTTAACTAAATGTGGGAAAAATGTATATATTAATATTATATGTATGTACAAATAATTAGGAATTATGATAAACAAACTGGGACTTTGTGCATTTACAATTTTTCAAAAAAAAACTCCAAAAATTCGATAAGATCTATTATTGACTATTCACATTATGAAAACTTGTTTATTTTTTAATGTGTTAAATACCATTGATTATATAATATACAGATAAGCTATCCTATTATTAATATTATAAAATCAATGTAGGTATATTATAATAATATTCTATATTAAAATAATGAAATATTATTATATCAATAAAATTGAATTGTAAGCTATATACAAATGTATTATCCACACTCTTATTGCCCTAGTTATATATAATTAGAATGAAGTAACATTTACCATCTACAATTTACTTTTAACTTTTTGAATGAATTTACACTTTTTATTTTAAGTACAGTAGGTCTTGTGAATCTGGGCATCCAGTTAATTAGGACAATCAATTATTTATATTATTTAGGTATGTAAGTATGTATGTATATTATATATTGTATAAATAAATAAATACATAAAAATTATTAATATGTAGGTAATATTCTTGTAAAATAGGTTAGGTAGGTAAAATACTTTAAGCACTAAATCTCATATTTGAGCTATTTTAAATGTCTTCCGTTTAATCCGGATTTAGGGTCCAGATCAGTAACTTTACTGTACTTTATTTTAAATGTAATTAAAATTAAAAACACAATAATTTTAAGCACATAAAGTCCCTGCTCTGATCACAGATAATAATCTATAGCAACTATACCAATGGGTCATTATCCTGTTCTATGTCGTAGCCAACATCTTCTGGTCGTATTCTAATGAACGATTCTATATTTTTATGCACTGCACTAGACCAAGGATAGGACTGAATGACAAATGAAGCTGGATCTTTCCATGCTGCTCTTTTTCCATACAATCTAATGCCTTCACGAATCATGTCCATTACATATGGAACCAAAGAATAGTTCCATAAATCTGAAAACCACGTTTGAGATGTTTCTAAATCCATTGGACACGAAACAAACAAAATAGGTCCTAAAATAAAAAATAAAAAATAATAAGTATGCACATTATTTGTAAAAATAATACAATCTATTCTTGTGAAAATCACCTAATGTAACTTCAGACGAACTATGGGTCTCGAGCAACTGATTCAAATGATTTCTAATTTCAGGGATCCATTCTACAATACGTTTTAGCTGCGCATTTCTTTGGCCAAGTCGACATTCATGTTCTACAAGTTTACGCCTCAAATGACGTCCAAGGAATCCTTTCATCGGTTCCATATGGTTGGCACAAAGTACCCATCTGAAGTTGTGATGTAATTGAAGACTAGTTGTTGAACATGTTGACTGGTTAATAGTTCCTATTATATAAGGACATTTTGGACTTTGAAAACCATTGAACACATCTGGTAAAGACAACGCTTTATGTAAATTGTCTAAGATCACAACACATGGAATTTGGGAAGAGTCATTATCAGCTTGATCAGATATTTTGGACAAATATTGTTGCAAATCTTTATTATTTTTCTCATCAACGCTAAAACAATATTTCAAATAATTTTTATACATTGTATAAAATATTACAAATACTAACACTAATAAAACTAACCTGAAAGTAACTATAGTTGAAGAATTGCATTCTTTTCCCATTTTCATTACTAGGAACTCGGAAAGTTTATTCGATAAATAAGACTTGCCAGTACCGCTAGGTCCACATAATATTATTCTATGATGTTCACTTAATAAAGAAACATATCTAAATATATGAAGAAAAATACAAAATTATTTTGTTATTCTGAAAGTGTTTATAAACTAGCAAAATACTTATATAAATAAAAAGTTTTCTTCAAATTCTAATAAATAAGACTAATGCATGAACAATCATTATAAACATTTATTGAATCAATAGTAAGCTAAAAGCCCCTTAAACATGATTTGTAGCCCATGATTGGTCCATTCAATTTTATTAAACCATTGAATTAATTTATTTTTCATGCAACACGGCATAAAACATGACATAATATGTCGTATATAAGATAAGTTTCTTTTTATGTAAGTATTTATTAAAGCATGTTCAATTTATTATTCAATTAAATACAACTATACCTTTGGAGAATACTTTTTGGTATGAGGGTATCAAACGCTAAAGCGTCTAAACTTCCAGAATGCATTGCACCTTTGAGACAAATAGAAATATTTGAACCATTAGTCATACATTCGTACGGGGACTTATCAGGAGACTTATATTCTTTAGTATTTGATATATATCGTATTATATCATCAACATGATAGCTCCATATTGAGTCAACACTAAGTCCCAATTTGGTCATCGGATCAATACGTTCCACATAATCCTTAAAAGAGTGAAAATGTTAAAAATGTTATTATTTTGTTCAAGAATAAATGAAAAGGGGATACTATTATTTGTAATAAAAATAAGATTCTTACTTTGAATCCCTTAACAACAAGGTGGTCAACCAGATCCCATTTTGATTTTGGTGAAATAGGTAATGCAGATATTATGCATGTTTTAGTCTTATTTTCTTTATACTTGTTGTAACTACCATGACTACCAAGGAACACGTTAAGTTGGACCAACATGGCGTCTGAATCTAATGAGGGTAATAACGCTTCAGTCCCTTCATCACCTAATAAAAAACACATAAAGTGTTAACAAACAATAAACATAAGTTTTATAATATAATATTAATTATTGGTGAAAAATGTACTTTGAGTGTGATTTGATATTGGTGGAGACTGTAAAGAACTACAACTGGACTGAAGGGATTGATTTGTTACAATTTTTTGTAGTCTTTCATTGTCTTGTTTCAAATTCAACATTTCATCCTGTAAAAATAATTTTAATATTGAAAAATACAAGTAAGAGAATGACAAAAACAATATTAAGAACTATAATAGTTATCACTTGTAAAATTATAACATACCCTCATTTTAATCACAGTGTCTTTTAAGGATTCAAGTTGGTGTGCTGAACTCAAAGCTTCTAATCTAATGTCGGTAAGAACGAGATCTTTTTCTCTGAGCTGTTTTCTCAGTTGCTCCACCATTTCTGGACTAGAGTCGTGTTCTGCTCGATCGCAATCGTACAAACTCCTAGAAACGTTGATAAAAAAACACAATAAGTAAAAATATTGACTAAACTCAAAATGTGAAGCACGCACGTCGTTGACGAATGGCTGTTCTTAAAACCCAATCCGTTTGAGTGAGGAGTGTTGAGCATCGGCGACGACGGTGCAGACATGTCGGATAGGAAAGCGCTCTGATGGTTTCGGGCGATGTGAGCTTCTTCGGCATCTGACAACGAGTTGCTGCGATTCTTTTTGGATCGCGAGAACGCCTTGCTAAACGAGCTACGCAGCTATAATTTCCAATTGAAAAATATGTCATTACAAATTATATTATCCACCCATTGGGTTAATTTTCGCAGTTCAAAACCGGACGGTGTCAAAACAAAACAGAAAAACCAAACCCGAAAAAATTGCACATAGTTCCATTTAAGTATGAAAATTGAAAACATATAAAATGTAGTTTATGTATTATATGTGTGTAAAAAAAAACAGCAAGTAGTAGGTATAGGTTTTTCTTTCTTTCTTTTAACAACAATCATCGATTAAAATCTAGTCGTCATACGGATATGTTTGGTCGTACCCATCCTCTTTTCTTCTTCTTGTCGGCCTCGGACTGCTGTGCCGAACTGGACGCGCTGCACGCCGACGACAGGGAATTCAAACTCGAAACCGAATCTGTCGACAGTTGACGTGAAATGTTATTACCTAAAGACGACACAGAAGGGATGTTACACGACACTGATAATTCGGCGGTCTCGGATCACCCGAAGAACGAGCAATAATAATTCACGTACCAGTGCTAGAATCGGCAACGGAATTGATCGTGTGCCGCCTTTGGTGGTTGTTACTGCCGCCGCCATTCGCATGAATCGCCCCTGAATCAGTGGCGCCCTGTTTTCTCAACATCTCGACCGTTTGACGCAGTTCGTGCAGCTCGTGATCCTACGCAGAGAAATAAGCAGTCGGTCCAACGTTTAATAATACTTAATTTAATAAAGAACGCATTATTTTGCGTTCAATAAAATTGTTTGAAATTTAAATTAATCAAAATTTATCGCGATGGTTGAAAATTAATGAAATATATATTTACCTTTTTTTCGGCCGTGGCGGTCAACTGTTGCAGCCTCTGAGTCATGTTCGATAAAGACTGCTCGAAAGCAGACACCACGTGCGCCTAAAGAACAAAAACAAACAATAACGATTATGAATAAATTATGATTCATATAGAAAAGTCTAAAATAATAATAATGCTTACGATATGAGACAATAACACACCCCTATATGTGGTCTATACACCGAGAATACGAATATACGCGAGTTTGGAGAGCATATAATATTATATAACGGGTTGTACCGTTTGAAATAGGTTACTTCTGAGTATTATAAATTCGAAAATTGAATCAAATAATATACTATACACAATTTCAAAGGATACCTATCATACATTAATACAACAATGTACCCATATGGCAATAGTAATAATACTATGTATCAATTATTGATAGTAAAATATGTCTAAAAGTAGGTACGTTAGTGTAATTTATTTTCACCTAATATATACGCAGTTTGTCGCTAGTAGATTAGGAATAGGTACCTGCAGTTGGAATGATATGTAAACAATAACATAACTCATAACATACACGTAATTAATATACCTATAATTACATAGATTTGTTGGATTATAATGATTGCAGGAATTCGAAACACAAATTATTCGGTATTAATAATACTTTAATTTTGAACATAATAATATTTTCGGACATTCACCGTTATAATGTTATATAGTGACTAGACGTCTAGACTTGTACACAATTGAAGCAATTACATTCGAAATCGTCGTTTAGTCTGCAAGAACAACGATCGATAGGGTTTTTAATGTTTATTCGCTCTAGTTGCATTCCGTTTCGACGCGAACTATTACTATACAATACTGCACATTGACGATGACGATGACTTTATTTTTTATCATTATTTATGCCGTCGAACTCATAGGATGAGTAATTCAAAAAAACGATATATAGGTCAGATAATTCTCCTCCAAACCACAGTAATAATATATTAGGTATATTATTTTACATTGAATACTACAGCGGCAAGAAGGACCGAGGAAAACGAATAAATTGTCGTTCGCCTTCGCACCCAACCTCAGTTGGCGGATTACCAGTTAATATATAGTAAGTTATTACTCATTACCGGTTGATTTCATTCACACAGACTCATCCGTGGCCCGGTCCGTGACACCCTATAAGACCTCCATTTTCAAGTATCAATACAACTACACTCTCTGGACACAGACCGACCACAGTCCACAGTTTACGTCGAGTTGTTGACAACTTCTGTCTGTATCTGCGTCGAACAGAAACAGTCGAACGGTAACCTCCTATACTAGGTATTATATAAAAGTTATGATTATTGTTGTTCTGACGTGTAATCTAAAAAAAAAGGCATTGCGAACGAACAACAATCAATGCGATAAAATAAATAAACAATTCCGCCAGAAACAAATTTTTTTCGGATTTAGGTCAATAAAAAAAATTGTCGCATCTGGAAGACTTCGGTTTAGTATGTATTGTGTACACGTTGTTCATACAAATATTATTACACACCTACACAGTTGTACACCAAACACAGAGCGATTGCAGAGTCGAACAATATAATTTGAGATTATACAGAAAGATAGACTGTTTCGGTCATTATGTAAATATTATGCGAAATAAGTGGTAGCCAATAACAATTGTAATATTATGCAATTGATTAAAATGGATTTGATTGACGAGCATAGTATAATTAAATCCTAAATTTGGGTTTACCGGTACTAAACTTGGTAAATTTTACTCTTTAGGTGGCACACGCGGTCATTAATAATATTATACAATAGTTATGGCGAGTAGGTATTACGTGGCTTTTTCTTTGGGAATCATTATTTATAATTTTGTACAATCAAACATATGTATCATCCGCAACTGTTTTAAATATTTTCTACTTTTTAACGTTTTAATTATTATATTATTTATATTGTGTACAAGTACTTTACATATACAGACATACAGTACACTATGACGAGGTATATAGGTTTCGAGAGGGGGGTGGGGGTCGGGCACGAAAACACTAGGCGCAACTGTGTTCTACACTTCTTTCCACCATCGAGTATTATAATATTAGAGAGTATATTATATCATTACTAATAAAATAGTAACGATCCTTCTCGTCCATTACTAAACTATCAGACCTATCTTCAAATCTTGAACACCGCCGCAGAGCGGAACACTTGAACCGCTTCTATTTTTAAAGCACTACTCTCGATGGCTGGATACATGACGTATAAAATAATATACGTATGGGAAGTACTGCTTTATTTTGTAATATTATAATCATACACGTATATCGTAAGAAGAAAACGTTTTTATCACTTATGTAAGTTCTACATACCTAATATCTTATCAAATACCATAATGAGTAATTAGATTTTGGTTTGGTCGTCGTTAACGTGGAAATATTTCCGTCTCGGGGCGGCAATGTTGTCGGTGGGGTCGGTATATGTATATTATTATTATGGAGAGTGAGTCTCAGCAGCCGTTCCTAGTATAATATTAATATAGCTAATAACTATGTAATAACTGTAGAATATTCCAAATAAATATTATATCTAGTCTGCTTTCTGGACTCAACGGACGATGATGACGTGTTATAACATATTATAAATAATATATAATATCCAAATAACATAATTTCTTATTAATATATTTATATGCATTCCTACTATATTACAGTAGGCACTGGAGTCTAGTGGGAATTGTGTATTTGTGTCTCAACAATATCAAAGAGCACAAACCACACCACGCAGGAAACTATTTCGAAAGGGATACGAGATTTATCATCAATCCTCATAATAGTGTAATATTAAGCACAGTTACTGCGATAGTAGATAACTTGCCTAGAACAGAAGAACATGCCTTCCGGACTCAAACGTTTCAATCGAGACTCGAGTGATATTATAATATAATATTATTACATTGATATTATAATATCATACGTTGTGAATAAGAGCGATTTGGGTTAAATTTATGGGGGTGCTAGATTTATGTCGACAAAAGTTATCAGTGGGAGGGTTTGCCATCCACCCCCCTTCATTCATATGTCTTAACATTAATCTTAATATGAACAATTATCTATAACACAATACATTATTATCTATATTATTATTCTGATAGGTACCTATGTATTATTATTATTATGAAAATGATAAGGTCTTAGAAAAAAATGTATCCAAATACCTATGGCATAATATTATAGTCAATAAAAATTACCTAAAAACACCCCTCAAATTGCGTCTATAAGTTGCTGTGTCTGTCGATTAATATAGAAAAACCAGCTAAAATATCGAGCTGACAGAGCAATACGTAATATTATGCAAGAATTAGAAAAATATTTTCCGAAATGCGGGATAGGGTGCCTAAAAGCCCATCCCCAAAAGTAACCGCCAAAACCAAAATACGTGTAAATATCATATATTATGTACATAGGTGTGGAATGGTAAGTCCATAGGATAATATTATATTTTATTACGCGGAAACGCGAGCGCAAAAATATAATATAATAATAAACATTCCGTCGCACAAGTAGAGTAATAGAAAAATATTTTTATTGTTTACTGCAGTTGTAGTTGTGGCTGTCGATCGTTCTGAATCCGAAACAAATCGGAACGACACCACACACTGTCATCGCAAACATTGCACACACCTGTGACGGACGAAAATCGGCACGGACGGTTTTACAACACGCGGGAAAATATACTTATACCTATATAACACCGAACGAGTAAACAAAACGGTATAGATTTCTAACCGGCGGAGAAGCGTTTTCACAAATAATTTTATGCGAATGTAATATAATACGATAGGAAAAAAACAAAACAAAAAACAGAGTTTCGACATTCATACGAGTCAAAGCAAATACGCACAACAGCAACTGTTTTTGTTTTTTAAACCGCCCACCCGTCACATGATAAATACGACTTATAAGTACACAACATCGCACATCGAGCAGCGATACGAGGAAAAAAATTAAAAAACGAGAATAGTTTAATTTACTGTAGCACCAGTAAAAACGTCGTCTCTGCTGTATTATTATTATAATTATTTTATGCGTACACGATAATATTATATATTATAAACATACACCATCCATAATCCGCAGTGGTATTCCCACACACGAGGGAGTCAGTATTTTTTTTTTTTGGGGGGGGGGACATGTTCCCACACTAATCAATGGGGTCCCTTTATTTGTCATTAAACTATATTTGTACTAAAAACATTATAAAAAATTCCACTTTAATATGGGTATAGATCACCCACAACCCCTAATACCTAATATTTTTTCCATATCTTTCCGGGACAACCCTCGTCGTCCCTCAAAACGAAATTTGCCACGCGACCTCCTAAACAATTAAAAATATATACGAAGGTATATACTATATATAATCTAACACGACCGAGTGGAGCAGTAAACCAGTGTCAATAGACGCCGCCCCATCACGGCATCCAGTTGGTATAGTAATCTCACACCGAATTTCGGAATTATTTTGAATTTTGCAAATTATACATTTTCTCATTTATTTATTTTAAGTAGACCTTATTAAAAAAAAAAAAAAAATGTTTACCGAAGTATTTCGCATATACAAGCTAAAGATCGATCAATTAACCTTATATAATATAATAGCCATCGCGGTGATCGCCATAAACTAAACCTAACTTTAATAAATGTGTACCTCTCAATAACTTAACATGTATAGTGTGAGATAAATTGTTACCACAATATGTGTCAGGGATATTGTCGGGCATTTTGTTCTCCAAGAAGAATCGTCATCGAACTGAATTCAATTAAAAATATTGTGCTGTCGCCAGTCGGCAATAGTACAGAACAATAAATAGTAATAGCCACGCGGTGCTCTTTGATCCGCCGACCAATTAGAACACACGCGCATCCCTAGTGTATTCAGAGTAAGAATTTCAGACATTACTTCGTTGGTTCACTTCTTTCGTCTCTTTGAAAATGGCATGTCAGCGCGATATGACCTGTTATAATATTATGTTGCACGGGTTATAATGTCTGATTTGCGAGAACCACACCGTTATAATTGACGGCCCCGTATATGCAGTGTCGTTCTCGGTTTTC